TCTGTCTAGACCTGCTCTATTTGACATTGTTCTTTAAGAAACTCCTCCTAGGGAGCTGATCGGATCGACTTCAAATTTGGTCAGTGTGTTCTAAAAACAATAATTATGAAAAATTATCAAAATCTTTTGTCCACGGCATGGTTCAGAATTTCAATCTCAAGTCAACACATCTACGTACCTATATTCAGTCAGTCATAGCACCACCTACTGACAACAAGAAGTAAGCCTTGTATTAGTGTCTGATTTACTTGACATATTCATGGTGTGGTCTACATGTGATATTCTGGCACGTAACACAACCATGGCACATCCCAATGCACACGAACTGTGAGGGCCCAATCATCAGTGCTTACAGCTTTAATTTTAATTGCATTTAATTTGAAAAGGTAATTTGTTGCATTACTAGTTAATGCCAACAATAGTGAAATTATAACTTTATAGGACGTTATTCCCAGCACTGGTTGTAATAGTTGTACTCCTCTAATACGTTCTCACTCCCAGCTTGTCAAAATACAGCAGCTTGGTCAGGTCAAGTTAGCAATAATAAATATGCAACATCCGGTTAACTTTCAAAAATAAAGAAAAAAATTGTATGTGTTTAAACAGTTGCAGTTTGGTTAGGTTTACGGTCTTTTAGGAAGAGATTGTGACTTGGGATAAAATAAGTATGAAACGTAACATAAGTACATACATTTAAAAAAGTCAGCATTGACTTTTGGTTTTACACAGGACACCAACAGTCCAGTGTTGGTTAGACCCATCCATCCACCCCAACTTCCATACCTCCATATGCCGACCCTCTCACCTTACTTCAACCGCAAATCAAAACATTATGCCAGATGGGCGCGTCCTCAAATGCCTCTAGAGGGTACCTACAGTGTTCTAAATTGAGGCCACTCACCAAGCTGCCATATTTGACGACTTGGGAGAGAGAAAGGGTCGACTCTATTGTATTGAAGATTTGATCTGTGTATAGTTTAAATTGCACAGAGGAGGCAGTGTCATGGTCTGGGCATTTACTTTAGTTGAATAGCTCATTCTATCTATCTATTCTAGTCTCCACAGCATGGCCATAACAGGACACTAATGCTGCATTCCCACCAATTACATACAAAGATGCCAAAAGACACAAATTCATGGTGGATGACGTGAATGACGCCAAATTGGTGACATGAATGGTGTGAACACACAAAATTTGGCCCATCTGCAGTTTCGAGTTGAAAATATTGAGTTGAACAGACTGCTCCTTGAGCCTGTGGGCTTTCAGTTTCATTTTGATCAATTTATTGCAATTAAATCACAGAAAAATCTGTTATTTTAGGTTCATACTGCCTTGTCTAAAGGAAGTAAATACATGTAAACTACTGTGAGTAATGCATTTAGTGGGAACACACCATTAGCCTCAATTACTACTTAAACCTTACTTATTAAGGGTTAGGGTTAGGGTTAGTCCAACACACTCTAGTATAGACTTTGCATTGTATAGAGAACTGTACAGGAATTACAACTGGACAATATGTGGACCCTGTTGTCTGTGAGGGTTTTATAAATAAAATCACCTATGATCTTGACCCTGCCAATCTTCTCCATGAAGAGGGCTGAGATGATGTTGCCCGGCAACACAGCCAGGCTGCCCAGAAAGCTGACCAGGTAAATAAGAACATCGTTCTCCTCAACAGTGTTCAGGTGGCAGCCGTGTTTGTTGTGCTCAAAGGAGGTGTTGTCCATCTTACAGTTGATGAACTTCTCTTCCCACAGGTCTACAGAGAACAGGAAGACAAAGAAACATCAGCTGGTATTTATGGAAGAGGGTCAACTGTTGACCTTTGAACCCGATCCAGAGAAACACATATTGAGGTTTTGTATAACAGAAAATACTTTATTTTCATTAAGCCTTCTCTGTTGCTGATATTAAGTTCTCTCTGCATTATTTTCTGCATTATTTACCCCCCTTATGTTCTGTTCGATCCTTTTAATCATGTACCTGATTTCATTAAATAATAAAACATAATTTGTATTTAAACCCCACTTTCAAAATAGTATACTAGCTGGTTAACTGTTACGATGTAGGAAGAACTCAATAGTGAAAACAGAATGGAAGGTTACTGGCCAGGAGCAAGGTCTAGCCCACAGGTTGTTTTCTGCTACTTATTTTTCACTATTATTATTTGTTAGCCTGTACAGTCAGTGAGACGTTTTTAGCGAAATATAGATGTTTGCAGAAATAGTCATACAAGTATGAACATTGGCAAAATAAGACTTGGGCTTGATGACTTCACCCACAACAACCCTAAAAAGACAAAGAAATGACTCCGCTTGACAAATTCTCATTCAAAATGGTGTTATTTATTTTTCACTTTATTTATCTATTGCATCATTCTTTAAATTTAATTTTAGATATGACTGAGTTATGACTAAGAAGAAGCAGTGTGATTAATGAAATTAATCAATTATCTAAATTACAAACATGTCTTAAGGACATAAAATCCTGGATGAGCTGCAATTTTCTGATGTTTAACACGAAACTCTATACGTCTTTACTCGGCCCTAAAAAACCTCAGAGACTCACTGTCGTAAAGAATTTAGCTACTCCTAGATGGCATTACCGTTGGCCTCTAAGTGCCACTGTTAGGAATGCTTGGGAAGTTTATCTTTGATCAGGACATGTCAAATTTAATCCCCACATTAAGCATATCTCTAGGACTGCCTTCTCTTCAATTTTACAGTAAAATTACAAAAAATTAGGACAATCCTATCCACAAGACAGATGCAGAAAAATAATCCCAATTGCATTGTATTCTGAGGCTGGAATTACGCAATCTCTTATTTTCAGGCTTGCCCTAAATAAATCCATTTTAAGACCTCCAATTAATTCAAAATGCTGCAGCACGAGTTACTCGACAGGGAGAGCTCAGCGCCGCTTCCTGCTCTCTCACCTCTCTGCTGGCTCGCTGAATTAGAATTAAAATTTTCCCTTCTTCACGCCTAAATAAAGCTCTTCATGGTCCAGGCCCTTCTTAATCTGAAAGAGCTCAATAGTACCCTATTACAACTCTAGAAACACTGCGTTCTCCTTAAAGTGCAGGGTTACTTGTGGTTTCCTCATAGTCTCAATAAAGTAGAAGGGAGCCCAGAAGCTTCAGTAACAAGCTCCTCTCCCTGTGGGAACCAGCTCCAGTTGTGGTTTCGGTTGAGGCTAGACAAACTCTGTCCGCATTTAAATGAAAGGTAGGCCCTTTAATGACGTTTCCCTCTTTGTATAAGCGTTATTTAGTTTATGGGGCTGGAATCGAGGGTGATGGGTCCCTTTGAACCGATCCCCTTTAGTTGATGCCTTTGCTATTTAGGGGTGTTGGCCTTTGGTACTTATTTCGGTTGGGATCTCCCATGGTGCAGCTGAGCTCCTCTCTCCTTCCCTTCTCTTCGGGGTCGCTGCCTTTGTTCGCTTCAGGCTCATTCCATGGTCCCATTTAATGTGCATGGTTGAGTGCTAACTTTCATACTTCTGTCGCCCAGAGTTTTGTGCTTTATCGTCTCCTTTGAAAGGTTTCTGCATTGGATTCTCCTGGTGGAGCGCTCCTGCGCATGGCCGGTGGGTCCTGCTTTGAACTACCGATGTGCAGTACAACTGATTGATTATTATTTGTTATTGATGTACTGCTGGGAGTGTTTTGTTTTGTTGCGCAGGATTGTCTGCGTGCTCCGCTGTCCCGCCATTGTCGTTTGCTTGCTGTCGTGCCGTCACCGTGCTTTTTTTCATGAAAAAATCGTTCACGGATTCAGATTTGGGGTACCTAATTGTATGGTGGTGAGGTTGGTGTTGCTCGTGTTGTGTGCTGTACTATCTCGTGTTGTGTTGTCTCTCCTCTGTCTTGTCTCTCTCTCCTCTCCGTTCTCTCTCCCCCAATGACGTGGTCCAAGGCAGAGTGACGGACCCACGCTAGGGAGCCGAGGGAGGGTCTGGTCCGAGGTTTGCCTGCCGTGTCTTGTAAGAAGGCAGTTTGTTGGTCCCTGCCCCGTCCGCAAAGTCCCTTGCTCATCGTGGTTAACTGTTTGGTTCCTCTGTAAATGTTAAAAGGAGTTCGGTCTCAGACCTGCCTCTATTGGGAAAAAGTGTCCTGAGCATAACTCTGTTATGAATTGGCGCTTATACATTTGAACTGATAATTATTTATATTGATATATTGAATTTGAGGAGTCTCTGAGGACCAGATCCGTTTCACAGATTATCTGTCTCATGTACTCATGTCAGGATATAGTGAAAGTTTCAGCAAATATGACAAAAAATATTTTTATGAAAATGATCTGCAGCTTTAGGACAGAAAATTATGAATATATCCTTTAAGATCACTACAATTCAGTTGCACAAAACAGTCACACACATACAAAGACACACCGTTTAAAACACAAATCACAAAGATTAAAATGTCAGGAAGTAGAACTTTAAGTAACTCAGAGGAATGTATGCATCTAACCTTGGCCTGTTTTGCAGAAGGCGTATAATAATACATCTTCAATCTATCTGCATACATCTTCAATCTATCTGCATTGATTATTGAGATATCTTCATCTCCATGAGCACCATAATAATTGTAAAATACATATATTTATTTTCAGGGGGGGAAATGACTCTATACATATGTATACTGTATGTATTTTTGACTTGGCTAATATTGACATGATTTGAAACTACTACCAACAATGGTCTGAACTGAAATGCCATTAGGAGTACTAGGAGGAGGATTTTTTCATAGATTATCTGTCTCAAATTCGACTGTCAGGATATAGTGCAAGTTTTAGGAATATGACAAAAGTTATTTTTATAAGTTACCTAATGCAGCTTTAATAAGTTACAGTTTCTTATTATTATGGGCAAGATGATCAGAAGCCCTTTCCCAGACCACAAGGTAACTCGTCCAATGTTCAATTGGAAGGGTCCTCCTGGTCAAAACTTCTAAACCCTTTTTGAAAAAAGTACATTATTGCACTATTGTACATTGTAGACTATATTGCCTCAGCAGCCCATTATCAGTATGGATGTACTGTGGCTTTGCAATGTGGTGCTCTCAATATGACATGTCTTTGTATCATGTTTACTATTGAGTGGGATAGGAGCATTGCAAATATTTGTTTAACCTTCCTGGTTTGGAGAGGTTAAACATGGCAGGGACAATGTTGCCTTTTCTTCAGACTCCTAACTTCTCTATTTACAAGTGGCACAATATTAGTACCTGGGAATGATAAGTGGGCCATAAGTGGGCCATAAGTGAGCCATACTTATTTCCAACCTTGGCCCCATTGAAAACCCAGTAAGAGTAATTAAAAATATCAGCATACCAAGAAACTTCTATTAAGGGACCATTTATAAGAGGTAACTAATGGCTTTATAATTGGTTAAAGGTCCAGTGTGTAAC